CCAGAGCAGATCTGGAAAGTACAGCGGCAGAAAACTACAATCAGCATTGCCTTCTCTTTTTTTTTTCTTTTTATTCGATTTATTCAATCAGAAATATAACAAAACATAATATAATCATAAAACATAAAACATTACAATCAAAGTGACTGAAAGCCTCAGGCAGAAGCAAAATGCTTATATTTACGCCAGTCCTTTTTATTATATTATAATATAATAATGCCCTTGTTAAACTGAAATGCCCTCCTCAATTCTGTACCTGGTATAAATATTGTTTTTGTATTCATTTTTAAACAGAATCATAGTAACATATTTCCTTAGTGTCCCCACCATCCTATTCCAGTATCGATGGAATTAACTGAAGGGCCATCAAACTCTGAGGAGTCATGCAGAGTTTGCATGACTTCTGCTCCTCGGGTAACATTTACCATAATGTCTTTTAAACTAGCGACAGTCACGGCGACGGCGACTTCTTCCGGCTCTTTGGAGGGTGCAGACGCTTTTTTCCTCCCTCTCACTCCCAATCTATCCTCAAGGCTCTTTGTCTCTGTGCTGGGTGCACGGCTGCTTCTGCATTTTTTCTGGAAACTGGAAACTCAAATTCACTAAAATGGACCTGGTCAGTTGGTCTCTCAACGTGATTGATAAAATTTTTTCAACAATGAGAACGGGAGAAGGGGCTCCTGGTTGCCCCTCCGGGACAGACCCAGTTGGACACATCATGGACTCCTGGAAACAGTGGAACTTGATTTGTTTATCTCAGCTGTCTGTGGAGGACTCTGAAGACGTGTGGATATTCGTGGTGTTGGTGTCAGGTTTCCTGCTCATTGGTCTTGGAGGCTTCCTGGCTTACCGGAAAATTAACGGGCTGTCGAGGAATATTGGCCTGCTCCGGGAGCTCAGAGATGGTTTGCACCGCGCTGTGAATTCGCAGACTCACATAATTGTCAAGATGAATCGTAAGCTTGGAACTTTGGCCGAGATTCATTCATTGGCACCAAAGATGGATGCCAACAAGGATAGAGTGGATGAATCAGCACGGATTAGGATTGATTAATGTCCATTATTGGGATTTTGAGAGGTTGAGGACCAAGGAACTCTAAGACAGAGAGGAGATTATCTCTGTAATTGTGAGGCTCCAATGAATACTCCCCCCTCAGAAGAAATGTGGAATGTGCCATCTCGATGGCAACTCTGTCTCCTATCCCAGCCTGGGCGGGAATGCCGCCGAATTGTTCCAGGAGTCACTGCAACCCTCAATGACCTCCTCCCCCATCCAGACTGAGGTAATGTGCGCTGCTTGTAGTGGCTGCAGGAACTGAAGTGTGGATAGTCCCATACCCACCACCCCACCTAGTGGACACTTATGTTGTGTGATGTCTGAAGTCTGTTGCATATCTCTGTCTGAGGTGTTTTTTTTTTTTTTTTGCAGAGCTAAGCTGCCCTCCTAGTGGAGGGTAACTCTGAAGTGCCTTTTTTCCCCCTCCACCTGAACCAATCCTCATGCAACCCTCTTATCTCTATTAAGGTAGCACGACTCAAGGTTGCAAATGACCCGTCACCAATTCTAGTCATGTGTCTTGCCCATGTATGTCTGATCTCTGAATTGTGTGTACTGAAACTCAAATTTCCCTCTGGGATTAATAAAGTATCTTTGAATTTGAATTGAATAAAGCTACCCTGAAACGTACGTCCGGCCTCCTAGCACCCGGAAACTACACGCATGCCACCTAAAGTTAAGAGTGCCGTCTTGTTCTGGTTTGTTTACGGCAGGTTCTCGGATTGGATAGTTACATTTGCAGTTGACAGGATGCTGACCAATCAGGTGATAGGTCTTCAGCTAAAATAGTAATTGTTTACATTTTAAAGTCACGAGCCGGTAAGAGAAATTTTACTAGATTTTTTTTTACTAAAACTAAACTTTTTACAAACAAATTCTTATCTGGAGGCATGAAGTTGAATGTCTCAGGCTTTTTTTTGTGTGACAAATTTGACCCCAAACTGCGCCGTCTGACGCTCAGGCAGAAAAACTTAGACTTGAGTTTGCGCCCACAGAAAAGTAGAGGTTTTGAAATGCAGATGCTGCTGCACGCATAGGCGCCATTTTAACCGGGGACGCCGGGGACATGTCCCCGGCAAAATTTGTGATTGGCAGCTGTGTCCCCCCCACTTTCAAAAAAGCCTGTCTTTATTGTCCCCAGCAATTTTTAAACCCCACTCAAGTGTATGGTTATTGTCCCCAGCAATTCTGAAAACAAACTGACGCCCTTGGCTGCACGCGAACTTTAATCCTTCCGGATTTAGCCTGGTTTGTGCATTTCAGCCTTGCAACTCATTTTGGAAAATGGGATCAAATTTAGAAAACCTAGAGCTTTGTTAGATCCGAAATACCAACAAATAACACATAATTACTTTTATTTGGCTAAATTATTAAGGTTTTAATTTCAGAATTCCCAAAAGGAGAATCATGAGGAGCCAGCAGATTAAGCTGATCCCTAATCTGAAACAAGGACGTGACTTTATTGTGGAAACAAAGGAAAGGAAAGAAAAGGAAGTTCTCCATCCCACATGATGGACACACAGGACTGCAACAGCAGCAGATGGCTTGGGGATTATTCTCCCTCCCCCTCCTCCTCCTCCACCCCATTCCCACACCGGCCACTGAAGCTTTACTCGCTCCTCCGAGGCCAGCTCGACGTGCCGGGCCGGCGGTGCATCGACCTGAACCGTCCTCACCTGTAGCATCTGCTGGCCTACATTAGTTCCTCATCACCTGCATGAATCCAAACGAGGAAAAAGCACCTTAAATGAGTCACGGCTCTCAGGAAACCAGAAAGTCACCCTGCTGGTTTCAGTCTGCAGGACACAGTCTGATCTTACATCAGGTAAATCACAGGTAAGGAAACGCTCATAAACAAGACACGCGTTTCAAGTTGGTTCCGCTCATTTCCAGCAGCAGGTGACTATGTAATATAAATCTGGGGAGGAGAGGGGTATCCGGTCTGTCGGGGCCGCTATGCTGCATGTTTTAGTTGTTTCCCTGCTTTAACACACCTGTTAAATCAGCAGGCGATTAACCTCTGCAGAGCTGCTGAACACGTGATTCAACTACTGAATAAAGGAGCAGGGAAACAACTAAAACATGCAGGATAGCTGTCCTCGAAGACCAGAGTTTCCCACCCGGTAAAAATGTTAGGTTTACATCATTCCGCTTCATTTACCAAACAACGTTGTGGATTTAAGTTCAAATTTCTGCATTTTTAGATCCAATCTGTGGGAAAATGCTTCCATTTCTGTTTAATCCTCATCTTTCTTGGGTTTAATAAACAGAAACGTCTGTTTTCCACAGAATGGGAGGAGGAAACAGGAGTGGAGTTTTCCTGCTGTTCAAGTGTCTCTCACAGCAGGAGAGCCAACGGCTGGTCGGAGCTGAGCCAAGACCAAGGTGGACTCCCGTCATCAGGAATCCGCTCCGTTGTCTCCCAGCGGATCCCAGAAATGTGACTTTATAAACCTTCACGCCACAAACGTCCCCTTACGTCCGTAAAGTCTGGGTGCATCCTACCACTCCTGGTCGGAAGCAACCACAGAATCCACGGAAACAGTAACAATGAGCCGATCTGCAACCGATTTGAAAAGGAGTAAAAACCTCCCTTTGTTCCTGAGCAGGTTTGTGACCTCGCCTAACGAGAAGCAACTCTTTACTGTGCAGCTAAAAAAAACCTCCAGATGTATGGAGCCGTGATGTTTGTTAGTGAGGAGCTGGAGAATGTGGTAAATATGTAAACAAGTCGTAAAGGTGGTGCCGAGCGGATCTAGATCCAGTTGATTTTATTCCTGTTCAACTGGAATTCACCCAAACAGCACAGCAGCAATTCTCCTCCTAAACCGCCACATGGATGGAGCACAGATTTGAACAACACACTCATTAGAGTAACACTCAGCAGTGTGTTAGTGTTGCTTCCTAAGGAAACGGAGTCATTTCTACAAACAAGCTATGTTTGCACAACTCTGCACACTCAGCAGCAGCGTCAAGGCAGCGTGAAACACGCCTGGATTTCTCTTCCAGCGAAGAAACCAGATGACTTTCTGTAATTCCACTCGTCTGAGCCCAGCTGTGCTTCACATCTCATCCCCATCTCATCACCCCCTAACAAAAGAGTTTGGTGGTGGCCTCGCACGCCTGGAGCAGAACAGAGTCACAAAGATGAGGGGGAAATAAATCATCCTGCAAAAGCAGAGAGAGGGAGCTGAGGGCACACCTGGCCAGGACCCCCCCCCCCCCCCCCCCCCCCCCCCCCCACACACACACACACACACACACCTGCTGCTGCGAATCAGTTTCACTCCAACAGCCGCAGATCAGTCGTTGGGCTTCCTCGGCAATGAGTTTGGGGAGCGAGAGAAACGTGTGTGTGTGTGTGTGTGTGTGTGTGTGTGTGTGTGTGTGTGTGTGTGTGTGTGTGTGTGTGTGTGTGTGTGTGTGTGTGTGTGTGTGTGTGTGTGTGTGTGTGTGTGTGTGTGTGTGTGTGTGTGGTCCAGTTTGACCCGGTGCCTGCAGCTCAGGAGCTTCTCAGAGTCAGACAGCAACAGTTTGGGGGGTTTAGTCTGATCTCTTGAGTTTAAATAACTGAAAGGAACACATTATATTTAAAATATCCCAACATTAAAGGAGAGTTTAGCATGTTAAAGAAATGTTTTCATTCCTGTAGCAGCCGAGTGGGTCAGGGTTAGGGTTTAATTCAGGTGTGTTCCGGTTCTGACCCACTTGAGTTGGACTTGTTTTGTGATTCCTGCATCAAGCCTGAGTTTAAACAAGGCAAACAGCTTTCTGGTCACTCTGAAAATCTGTGAACATCAGCATCTCAGCCCAATCCAGGAGACTGCATACAACATGGTAACTTTAAATAGTTTCATAAACAAAATCAAGAATAATTCACGCTGTCAGAAGAAAGTGAGCCCGCGGTGCTTCCGGAGAGGCAGGGCGGGATGAGAGCGCATACCTCGGACGCACAGGAGCGACATCTCCGCCGGGTTAGGTGCAACAGTTCTTCAGTGAGTTTAAAAACCCGTTTCCGGTCGCTTGATCTGTCCACAAATGTCATTTACATCCGGTTTCATCTCAAGAAACAAGAACATAAAAATAAAGACGCGCTAATCCAGGCGCCCGGAGAGTTGGAGCGTCACCGGCACAAACCGACTGAAATCCGCCAGAGCGGAAAGGCTCCCGTGCTGCGTTCATGGACCAAACTCGACGTGGGAATTTGGAAACACAAACGAGATTTACGATGTAGAACCACGAACAAGTTCTGGATGACAGTGGGATTATTATTTTAAACCTTTAATTCTGGACTTTATAGTAAGTTTGCAAGGTTAGGGTTACCCGGAAGCTCGGGTCATCTTTAAAATGGTACATAACTGTATATATAGCAGCTACCCCTGGATTAGTCATTGCACCCCCAAGTAAATATTTTTTTACAATTTAATTTTAATTTAACGTGTGGCAGTGGCGGCTCCAGAAATGTTTTTCTGCAGGTGCTATGAAGGAGCTAGTCTTTTTATTGAGGGTGCTATGAAGGAAGTGGTCATGCGTACCTATTGTTCTCTAAAACACCTTCAACACTAGCAGATACACATGCGTGCACAAAACCTCAACACCACCTGAAACAATCATTAAAATACATCATAAACATATGAACAATCGCTGACTTTTCCATGAAATCATAAACACATACAGGTCAGCCACACAGAAAACCATCTATAGTGTTGCAAGGTTAGCTAACGTTAGTGTTAGCATTTCCAGGGCAAAACCCTGGACTGCTGCAGCGGTTGAGGGTTGACTCTCTTCATCCAGATCCGTAGGTTTTTGTGGGTCTGAGATCACTTCCAAAGATTCATTCGTTCGTGACTGAACCCGTGGAAATGTGGGCAACAAAAACCGATTCATTTTACCACTAGCTCTACCTTTCACTCGTTCACAGGTGGAAAATGAGGTCAAAGGTTAACATCAATTTCCTGTTTTGGTTACAATTTTACTATCTATATGATAATTTACTGATTATTTTTGTTTTGTATGTTAAATATTATCACATCCACACGTTAAATTAAAATTAAATTGTAAAAAAAAATCTAATATTTACTTGGGGGTGCTATGGGGGTGCAATGACTAATCCAGGGGTAGCTATAGCACCCCTAGCGCCCCCCTGGCACCACCACTGACATGTGGATGTGATGATATTTAAGATACAAAACAAAAATAATCAGTAAATTATCATATAGATAGTAAAAACTTAAACCAAAACAGGAAATTGATGTTAACCTTTGACCTCATTCTCCACCTGTGAATGAGTGAAAGGTAGAGCTAGTGGTAAAATGAATCGGTTTTTGTTGCCCACATTTCCACGGGTTCAGTCAAGAACGAATGAATCTTTGGAAGTGATCTCAGACCCACAAAAACCTACGGATCTGGATGAAGAGTCTCAACCCTCACCCGCCGCAGCAGTCAAGGGTTTTGCCGCTAGAAATGCTAACACTAACGTTAGCTAACCTTGCAACACTAGATGGTTTTCTGTGTGGCTGTATGTGTTTATGATTTCATGGAAAAGTCAGCGATTGTTCATGTTCATGATGTATATTAATGATTGTTTCAGGTGTTGCTGAGGTGTTGTGCACGCATGTGTATCTGCTAGTGTTGAAGGTGTTTTAGAGAACAATAGGTACGCATGACCACTTCCTTCATAGCACCCTCAATAAAAAGACTAGCTCCTTCATAGCACCTGCAGAAAAACATTTCTGGAGCCGCCACTGTTCTACAACCCCCCAAAGCACTGTAGAGTGAGAACTGCCGGTCAGCAGCCAATCGGGTCTGAAACACATCTGGTTACACTTCAGGCTTTTGAGACCCGCAGCAGAATCCTGCTGGAATTACTGACAGATCCTCTGAGGTGCTTTTAGCTTTGCTGCTCCTCCAACCATTGGATCATCCTTGGAAGTTCTCTCGTAAATTTGAGGCTTTCCAATGATTGATCTGAAGCTTTGTTGCGACACTTGGCTCAAGTTTAGTCTGACTGCACTTTATACTTAAATAGAAATTCATTGTTGAAAAATATTTTAGTTTCATTAAAGTGACAGTGTATTTTTTCTGGCGATAGGGGGCAGTACATACCTAAATCACCGCAAAAAAAGCTTGTTTTTTGTGTTTTTTCTAGTAAGACCTTACCAACGGATGGCCATTAGGGTCAAAAATCCCTCAGCGCACAACCTCCAGAGAAATGACAAGAACATCAGAGTCCCCTTCATCACTGACAACAAGTGAAGAGCTAAATGTGTAAAACTATTTTTATTATTGGTGAAAGTTTTGTAACCATTTGTTACAAATCAGCCAATGCATTTTGTCCTCATGGGCTCCCGTAGAAGGAAACAAGGCATCCAATATGGCGTCGCCCAGAGACTTTGGGCACCCTTAGACCCGTTCCCATTTATTTTAGAACAGATGTTTATGGTTAGATGTTATGAAACCACAACTGAGCATCTTTTAATTCATTTACAACTATATTTTGATGGAGGTTAATTGTAAAAACTGCACATTACCACTTTAAATTTTTGATTTTTACTTTAAGTATTGCAGGTATAATTACCCACATTACAGCTAATGCTTGGTGGCTTCAGCTTTACACATTAATCATCTTAAACCAGTCGTAGGTCGAAATCCACGTCCGAGTTAAAAATACCCCAGGGCTGAAAGACAAGCTCCGTCACCAACGCGATCCAAATTATTTCCAACTCAGTAACTCAAAGACAAGAATAAATTCAGATTCGCGAGGAAAGTGTGGTCTAGGTGCCATTTTTATTAACATCCAAAGTTATTTAATTTGGAAAGTTTGGTCTAATTTTCAAATTCTAGAGCTGAAAAGGCCAAATTTCATCGTTCTAGAAACACCTTCTGCAGTCACTGGAGGCTGGTTCCTACCTCCAGTCACTGGTTGAGAGGCAGGGTACACCTGGGTGGGGTGCTAGTCCCTCACGGGGCAAACGGAAAACAGACAAGAACCTCCTTTTGTCACCAGATCTTCTGCTTCGGCGGTTCCAATGGACCCAACTCTCTGAAACATGAGCATTGATTTTAGGAATCTACCTAAAAGGATGAACTCAGTCCACTTTGTCTGAACTCACCTAGTTGAAGTTGGGTCATTTTGCTTGAGTTTGTGCAGAAACACCAGAGCGAGACTCATCGCTGGAGTAGTAGCTCTGTGCTCCGAGCCCGGGATTCTGTTGGTAGCTCTGCTCTTGCACTTTAGGCACATCAAACTTGGAACGGGGTTCAAACCAGTGCTGCATGCTTGACCTACGTGGTTGATCATTTGCCATGTAGCTGTAGTCCTGCTGCTGGTGAAGGGGAACAAGAAGCTCAGCGTTCTGCTGGTAGCCTGGCCCCTGAAACTCTGGTTTTTCATGGTAGAAGGTCCTCTGAGGATGAGGAGTCTGCTGGTAGAAGGCCCTTTGGGCTTGAGGATGATGTTGACTAGCGAACCTCTGGGACTGAGGCCTGAAATGGTGGGAATCAGGCTTTAGAAACTGGGGTTGAGACCTTGACTGGTGGCTGCTTGACCACTGCGTCTGAGGCTTTGGCTGGATGTATGGCTGACTGGACTCTGGGTTCTGGGACTGAGATCTCAGGCGGTGAGTGTTTGACCACTGCATCTGAGGCCTTGGCTGGTGACCTGTCATGTCCACCCTGGGGTTCTGGAACTGAATGGATGTGTGTGACTGAGGTTTCCATCTTTCACCAAGTTCTTGTGGATCAGCAATTTTGGACTCAGACCTCTGTTGGAGACTTGGTCTTGGGTGTTTGGGGTTCCAGTTGAAGCTGGGTTCATTGGGCTCCATGTTGTGGAGATGGGGCCTAGGCTGTGTCTCAGCTATTTGGTAGTAACTGGGTGCCCGACCCACGGGCCTGTGCAGGTGGCTCAGTGCCTGGGTCTGGGGCCTTGGCTGGTGGCCCATTGCCTGAGTCTGAGGCCTTGGCTGGGGGCCCTGTGCTTGGAGCTGGGGCCTCAGCTTGTGGCCTAATGCCTGGGTCTGGGGCCTGTGCTGATGGCTCTGTGCTTGGAGTTGGGACCTCGGCTGGTGGCCCGGTGCCTGGGGCCTAGGCTGGTGGCCCAGTGCCTGGGTCTGTGGCCTCGGCTGGTGGCCCAGTGCCTGGGTCTGGGGCCTCGGCTGGTGGCCCAGTGCCTGGGTCTGGGGCCTCGGTTGGTGGCCCAGTGCCTGGGTCTGGGGCCTCGGCTGGGGGCCCAGTGCCTGGGTCAGGAGCCTTGGCTGGGGGCCCTGTGCTTGGGGCTGGGGCCTCGACTTGTGGCCTAATGCCTGGGTCTGGGGCCTGTGCTGATGGCTCTGTGCTTGGAGCTGGGACCTCGGCTGGTGGCCCAGTGCCTGGGTCTGGGGCCTCAGCTGGGGGCCCAGTGCCTGGGTCAGGAGCCTTGGCTGGGGGCCCTGTGCTTGGGGCTGGGGCCTCGACTTGTGGCCTAATGCCTGGGTCTGGGGCCTCGGCTGGTGGCCTAATGCCTGGGTCTGGGGCCTTGGCTGGTGGTCCAGTGCCTGGGTTTGGGGCCTTGGCTGGTGGTCCAGTGCCTGGGTTTGGGGCCTTGGCTGGTGGTCCAGTGCCTGGGTTTGGGGCCTTGGCTGGTGTCCTAACGCCCAAGTCTGGGGCCTTGGTTGGTGGCCGGTTGCTTGGGTCTGCAGCTTAGGGCTGAACTCTAGAGGGCTAAGACCCATATTATGGTTATATTCCAGAGTTTGAAGATCCCCCTGATAGCCTGACTCCAGAGTCCGAGGTTGAAGAGTCCACTTGTTGCTGTGCACATGGCGCTGGAACCTTTGCTGGTTGTTAGTGGCCTGGAGCTTCAGGCTCTGCAGGGTACCAGGGTTTGAGGGCTGGTCATTTGGAAACTGGGCTTGAGGCCCGGCTTCATTGCTTGGTTGCTTGTGGTGGGGTTTTTGCTTTGGCTCATTATGTGATGTTTGTGACCTTGGACTGAGAAAAGCCGTCTTGGGGTGATTAAGCGGGTAGTTAACAACAGGCAGGAGAATCTGATACTGCAGAGCTGCCGGGTTTCCAGGAGTCTGATGCTCATGGGTCAGGTCAAATTTAAAGTCATGTTGCAAAGCTGTCAATAATCATCCAACAAAGTTAAAAATCAATGCAGTCTTTGAAAGCCTCAGCATACAGTTTTGTCTAAAATGACTGAATGACTGTCTCCAGAAGACTACGGACACTCTAACCCGTAACTCACGTTCATGTTCTGCTTGAAGCTCTCCAATCACCAGCAGCCAAAGCAGTATCACACTGGATGGGGAATAAAAGAGGCTGGAGCTCAAATGTGCTGAAACTAAAATAGTAAAAAAAGGTGAAGTTACCAGTGACTTTGTCCCATGGCTTCGATAAGAGATAGAAACAAAGTGAAATGCTTCACAGACGTAAGCTTCGTGCGTTTCTCTTCCTTCCTTCCACAGTAGTGAGGAGCCTGCACTTCATTTAGCCTTAATGTGAATCAGCCAATCACAGCTCCTGTTCCTACAAGCTCCACTAAAACACGAGGACCTTCCAGGGTGGGCGGGTACACTTTCATGCACAGGTGTTTTAAAACCATTTCCTTCATCCACTCAGCAGTTAGAGCTCACGCTTTACTTATATTTACTGTTATTTATTATTCCGAACAAATAAAAAAAAAAATGGAATAAAATAATAAACCTATCACTTATTCATCAACACAAACAACATCATATGATCTGTGCCTCAGTTGGCACACACACTAACACCATAAGTTCAAAAGGGAGCAGGATGAAGTCAGAACTTATAAGATTCCTGCTTCTGTGTTTGGCAACAATTCAGACCTTTCAGCAAAGCAACATTATGCAGGCCTTATTGTGCTCAAGGTGTCATTTTTAAATATTGCACCTTATTTATCCATCCAACATAGAAAACAAAACAAATCAAAATCAGCCCAACAGCAACAAACAAACAAACAAACACTTCTTAAGAAAAGAGAGCGAAAGACATGCCATTATCTTTATTCTTTTTACATGCATGTATTAATCCTCTCGTCATCCACGGACTACCACCAACATTCTCAGTGTTACATCGCTTAAGACATATTATATCATACAATTTTAAAATATGACAGAAATGTATTAAATGCTTCATCAGCATCAGGTTTTTTTCGTCGTCGTCTTCCTCCGCTTATCCGGGTTCGGGTCGCGGGAGCAGCATCCCAACTAGGGAGCTCCAGACCGTCCTCTCCCCGGCCACCTCCACCAGCTCCTCCGGCAGGACCCCAAGGAGTTCCCGGACCAGAGTGGAGATGTAACCTCTCCAACGTGTCCTGGGTCGACCCGGGGACCTCCTGCCGGCAGGACATGTCCGAAACACCTCCCCGGGGAGGCGTCCAGGAGGCATCCTGACCAGATGCCCAAACCACCTCAACAGACTCCTTTCAATCCGGAGGAGCAGCGGTTCTACTCCGAGTCCCTCCCGAATGTCCGAGCTCCTCACCCTATCTCTAAGGCTGAGCCCGGCCACCCTACGGAGGAAACTCATTTCGGCCGCTCGTATCCGCGATCTTGTTCTTTCGGTCATTACCCAAAGCTCATGACCATAGGTGAGGATTGGGATGTAGATCGACCGGTAAATCGAGAGCCTGGCTTTCTGGCTCAGCTCCCTCTTCACCACGACAGATCGGCTCAGCGTCCGCATCACTGCAGACGCCGAACCAATCTGCCTGTCGATCTCCCGATCCCTCCTACCCTCACTCGTGAACAAGACCCCGAGATACTTAAACTCCTCCACTTGAGGTAGGACCTCTCCCCCGACCCGGAGTTGGCAAGCCGCCCTTTTCCGGTCGAGAACCATGGTCTCATATTTGGAGGTGCTGATCCTCATCCCAGCCGCTTCACACTCGGCCGCGAACCTACCCAGCAGGAGCTGAAGGTCAGAGCTGGATGAAGCTAGGAGGACTACATCATCCGCAAAAAGCAGAGACGAGATTCTCCTGCCACCAAACTCGACACACTCCACACCACGGCTGCGCCTAGAAATTCTGTCCATAAAGGTAATGAACAGAACCGGTGGCAAATGGCAGCCCTGGTGGAGTCCAACCCTCACCAGGAACAGGTCCGACTTACTACCGGCTATGCGGACCAAACTCACGCTCCTCTGGTAAAGGGACTGAATGGCCCTTAACAGAAAGCCACCCACCCCATACTCCTGGAGCGTCCCCCACAGGGTGCCCGGTCATAAGCCTTCTCCAAATCCACAAAACACATGTGGATTGGTTGGGCAAACTCCCATGCCCCCTTCATCACCCTTGCAAGGGTATAGAGCTGGTCCACAGTTCCACGGCCAGGACGAAAACCACATTGCTCCTCCTCAATCTGAGATTCAACTATCGATCGGACCCTCCTCTCCAGTACCTTGGAGTAGACCTTTCCAGGGAGGCTGAGGAGTGTGATCCCCCTATAGTTGGAACACACCCTCAGGTCACCCTTCTTAAAGATGGGGACCACCACCTCGGTCTGCCACTCCACAGGAACCGTCCCCGATGACCATGCAATGTTGCAGAGGCGTGTCAACCACGACAGCCCTACAACATCCATAACCTTGAGATACCCAGGACGAATCTCATCCACCCCCGGGGCTCCGCCGCTGTGTAGTTGTTTGACTACCTCAGCAACTTCTGCCCCCGAGATTGAACAGTCCATCCCCAGGTCTCCCGGCTCTGGTTCCTCCTCGGAGTGCGCATAGGTGGGATTGAGGAGCTCCTCAAAGTATTCCTTCCATCGTCCGACTATAGCCCCAGTTGACGTCAGCAGCTCCCCATCCCCACTGTAAACAGTGTGAGCGAGTTGCTGCCTCCCTCTCCTGAGGCGCCGGACAGTTTGCCAGAACACGTTTTTTCGTACACTGCATCCCAATTTTGAATTTCCAACTTATTTTTTTTAATTAATAGATGTTTCTGTCCTCATTCTTCTAAATAACTGACGTTTAATGTCCTCTTTATTCTTCATTTGTTTGTGATCATATAGAGTGAATACTGGCAAGTGGTCAGTCATCTCAAATTAGTAATCCACTGTTTTAATACAACTGGAGAAAATATTAGATCAGCACAATGAGAAGTTATTCTAATTTTATGAAACAGTCTGTAAATAAAATCCTCAGATTGTTCTTGTTCATTAAATCCATGTTAATTTCTCCACATATAATAGTTTTTCCTCCATCTGGCTGAAGATTTTGTCTCCACTGGCTAAAGGATTCAGTCTTGGAACCGGCGTCCCGCAGATCATTCAACAGGAACCTTTCAGTTGGTTTTATTTCAGTCATCGTTTTCTAGCAAATCATTGTTTTTGGATCAAATTTTAAAAACTCCTGTCTTGATTGAATCTATTTTTTCTGAGTCTTTATCTTACCTATAATTGTTTAATAGAGTTTGATATAAAATTAACTTCAGATATAAATGACATCAGAAAATAAGTAAATGCAGAATTTGTGAATTAGACAAAGATCAGGTTTACAGAACTTCTACACGATTTTAACTTTTCTAAAGTTGGTCCTTTAATGCTCGTCTTGGGAACAAAAAAACTTGTTAGAAAAATCAGATGTCCAAAATCCGACATGCTTTGAATGCAGCATTAAATAAATGCTCCCTCTAAAGCTGTCCTGTGAAAAGGCCAGTAATATCAAATGAGAAGTTCTGATTTAATTAGAATGTTTTAAATTTGATGCTTTAATGAGTTTTTGTCAAAACAAATCTTTAACCCTTCCAGGGGTTGTTATCTGCTTTGCATAAAGCAGAGGGCTTTTAGTCTTTTCCCTGAAAACCTTTAATGATAAAGTTGCAAACTACAGAAGCTTAATGGAACCGTTAGCCTGCCTCCATCAGGCTCATTAGAACACACCCATACAGATGAATTAGCACCAGCAACATTAATGCCCCAGCATCCTGAAGCAAATGTCTCTGCATTACAGCCTGACCAAGCCTGACCAACGCTAAACACAACCTCTAGAACAGGCAGACCACGAGAGCTGCCGTCAAGGCTAATCCGTGTTTAGAACATGAGAACCCTTAGTACGGCTTCCTGTAGCCCATTTTAAGACAAACTGGATTAGGGGGAGCTCTTTTGTGCACATCATTGGTCTCTCACCTATTTGACAATCTTTCAGGTTCACCCACTTGTTACAATGCTCACCATACCAATCCTGTGTGACTGCAGAACTGTGTCTAATGTTGTTTAACCTTTCAGTTTGCTTGTTTAGGACCAACTGCTGCAAAACCAGTCAAACTAAACCGACCTGAAAACTGCAGGCAAACATTTTGCTAGAAATTCAGCTTTGCCTGGTGAAGTCAATGCTCTAAACTTTTAGACTTTTCTACATTTCTCATGTTTCTTAATCCTTTCATCTACCGCCATCTTCTGGTGGACAAATGCATCACATTTAATGCTGAAGCATGTCCGACCTTCAGCATGTTCTCTTGCTTTTCTCACTGGAGAAATAAGTCCTACTCTAAATATCTGTTTATATCAATAAGATCGACAGGCCAACAAAGTCATGGATGCATTCAAGAGGTCAAATAAAAGCGGTCGCAACTCAACTCTAAACAGAAGAGAAGGAAACATGTTTTCCAAAAGTTTATTTTAGAGTCAGTTCCACCATAGCAAGCCAGTCAGCATGGACCTTCTGATGCTGGGTCTGAAAGCATAAACTCTTTTAGCATCCCATCAGGAACAATAAGCTTACATTAAAAAACAACTACTCACCTTTGTGAATGTCCATCTTTTCAGGAAGTTCTTACATGTTCCTCAGACTGGGAATAATCCAGGATCCATGGTTCAGGAGACCGTGACCTGGGCTGAGGAGCCAGAGACTCAAGATCAGCCTGACTGGGTAGAAGAGGTTGGAGCAAAACTTTTTGCTGATGATGCAAAGATTGTCCCTGGGCCTGAGAGCGGGGTTCCGGGCTGAAGCGATGGGGTTTCGGGCTGAAGCGCTGCGCCTGGGCCTGGGCCTGAGAGCGGGGTTCCGGGCTGAAGCGCTGCGGTTCCGGGCTGAAGCGCTGCGCCTGAGAGCGGGGATCCGGGCTGAAGCGCTGCGGTTCCGGGCTGAAGCGCTGCGCCTGAGAGCGGGGATCCGGGCTGAAGCGCTGCGCCTGAGAGCGGGGATCCGGGCTGAAGCGCTGCGCCTGAGAGCGGGGATCCGGGCTGAAGCGCTGCGGTTCCGGGCTGAAGCGCTGCGCCTGAGAGCGGGGATCCGGGCTGAAGCGCTGCGCCTGAGAGCGGGGATCCGGGCTGAAGCGCTGCGCCTGAGAGCGGGGATCCGGGCTGAAGCGCTGCGCCTGAGAGCGGGGATCCGGGCTGAAGCGCTGCGCCTGAGAGCGGGGATCCGGGCTGAAGCGCTGCGGTTCCGGGCTGAAGCGCTGCGCCTGGGCCTGAGAGCGGGGTTCCGGGCTGAAGCGCTGCGCCTGGGCCTGAGAGCGGGGATCCGGGCTGAAGCGCTGCGCCTGGGCCTGAGAGCGGGGATCCGGGCTGAAGCGCTGCGCCTGGGCCTGAGAGCGGGGATCCGGGCTGAAGCGCTGCGGTTCCGGGCTGAAGCGCTGCGCCTGGGCCTGAGAGCGGGGTTCCGGGCTGAAGCGCTGCGCCTGGGCCTGAGAGCGGGGTTCCGGGCTGAAGCGCTGCGGTTCCGGGCTGAAGCGCTGCACCTGGGAGCGGGGATCGGGGCTGAAGCGCTGCGCCTGGGCCTGAGAGCGGGGATCGGGGCTGAAGCGCTGCGCCTGGGCCTGAGAGCGGGGATCGGGGCTGAAGCGCTGCGCCTGGGCCTGAGAGCGGGGTTCCGGGCTGAAGCGCTGCGCCTGGGCCTGAGAGCGGGGTTCCGGGCTGAAGCGCTGCGCCTGGGCCTGAGAGCGGGGTTCCGGGCTGAAGCGCTGCGCCTGGGCCTGAGAGCGGGGTTCCGGGCTGAAGCGCTGCGCCTGGGCCTGAGAGCGGGGTTCCGGGCTGAAGCGCTGCGCCTGGGCCTGAGAGCGGGGTTCCGGGCTGAAGCGCTGCGCCTGGGCCTGAGAGCGGGGTTCCGGGCTGAAGCGCTGCGCCTGGGCCTGAGAGCGGGGTTCCGGGCTGAAGCGCTGCGCCTGGGCCTGAGAGCGGGGTTCCGGGCTGAAGCGCTGTGCCTGGGCCTGAGAGCGGGGTTCCGGGCTGAAGCGCTGCGGTTCTGGGCTGAAGCGCTGCGCCTGGGCCTGAGAGCGGGGTTCCGGGCTGAAGCGCTGCGTCTGGGCCTGAGAGCGGGGTTCCGGGCTGAAGCGCTGAGCCTGGGCCTGAGAGCGGGGTTCCGGGCTGAAGCGCTGAGCCTGGGCCTGAGAGCGGGGTTCCGGGCTGAAGCGCTGCGCCTGGGCCTGAGAGCGGGGTTCCGGGCTGAAGCGCTGCGCCTGCGCCTGAGAGCGGGGATCCGGGCTGAAGCGCTGCGCCTGGGAGCGGGGATCGGATTTACTGCCTTCAAGATTCTTTAATCCAGTCTGAAGTCCTTGCGAGGAAGCTACGAGAAACAGAGGAGCTCTTGGTTACACCAGCATTAATCATCATTTACCAGAAGTTATATGATCTCACTTTGTGTGGTAGCTTGAAGCTCTCCACAGAGCAGCCATGGTAGCACCACACTAGAAGAGAAGTATAAAAACCATCATCGGTTGTTCCAGATGAATGAATGAATAAATGCATACAGAAGCATAATGAATGACTTGAAAGTACCATAAAAAAAGCTTCATGGTTCTGACGTGTGAACACGCTGCTCAGCACCTGGACCAACAACTGCAGCTCTCCCTCTCTTCCCTCACTCCTCAGTGAGACAGTGAAACTTCAGGTGCGCCGCAGGTGATTTTCATTGTTCTGTCAGCCAATCAAAACCTCTGATTTCAAAACAATTGACTGAAAACAGGTGGAACCAATGGAACTTGATTTATACAATATAAATCCAATTTGATCTGGTTTATCATTTCCCTGTAAAGAGCACACTCAGTGTACTAATTATATAAAATAAAAGGCGAGTCTGATATCTGAGACAGACTCACTCCAGGCTAAGCGAGAAAGTTCAGGTGTTTATTTGTTAGAATTGTGACGATCACGGCTCACAGCTTATCATAACCCCCCCAAATAAAAAAATCTCATACATTTTGAATATTACATTAAACCACTAAAGTAATGATTTTAGATAAAGAAACGTCAGAACTCTGAAAAAGCAGAATCATGCATTTGTACTCGGTCCTTGGTTTGGAACCCTTTTGCTAAATGAACTTCTGCCCAACGTTCTAATTTTCTGAGTTTCACCAGTAGAGCATCCTGGGTATGATGTTATTTTTTATTGACATGCTGCTTTAACGAGGAAACACTGACGTTACGACCTGTGACTCATGAACACTTTACAAGTTCTGTAAGAACTGAGTTGGGCCCACTTATGTTTCCAGCACCTGATGCATTAGATAAATTTCTAATCAAACCTCAAATTCAAACCTTTGTTTGATCCTTTGAATGAGTTGAAACCATTCGGTAGAAGCAATAAGGACTGATGATGCTGTGATTCGTCTTTTGTTAACTCTTTTTCACAGGAAAAATAACTGATCACTGGAAATCCCAAATGTAGTAAAACATGCTGTAAACAGACGGAGAAGCTAAAAGCTGCAGCTGTTCTTGAGGAGTGCTAGTCTGGCAGGTCACCCGATGTAAACCTATACCTGCAGAGCTAAATATTTCGCTTTTGCACCAGTAGGTCCAGAGCAGTGGTTCTGGAGGGCCAGAACCCAGCACATTTTAGTTTTAACCTGCTTCAACACACCTGATTTTAATCAGCAGGTGATTAACAGGCTTCTGCAGAGCCTGATGAGCTGCCGCACAGGTGATTCAACTCCAGGACCAGGATTGAGAAGCACTGGTCCTGAGTTCCAGGCCAGGAGATGTTAGTACCGTAGTGGGTCAGCGGGTGTCAGTAGATCCTCCTCTTTTCTTCTTCATCCCTTTCTCAGTAAAATCAGAAGCAGACTGAGCTGCAATGACCCTAGTTTAAGGATAAGCTCCGAAAACAGAAACCTCATGTTGATGGGGAACTTGTTGTTTCTGCGACTCGTGGGATCTGATTAGAACTTGGACTTAAAAGATTGTTATGATGGATCTTTCTCACATTCAAAAACATTTAGATATTTAGTGTTATACGAGCCTACGTCACACCCACGTCAAGCCCCTACGGCCTGAAACAAGAAACCGCTTTGCCTTATGTTAACTGTAATCAAAATGAAATATGTGAGTTTCGACTGTTTGTCACGTACTTTGATATTTATCAACTTGTAAAAACTGATCATTAAAAAGACTACAAATCAAACCTCACGTATCACGTCACCGAAGCATCCCTTCAAAACAACCTCTAGTTCAGTTAAAAACCATCAAAACTATGAAAATGTATAATGCATTTATTATCTCTGCAACTCACATTTATCCTGTCTCCACGTTTTATTTATTTTGTTTCATTTATTCCTTATTGTTCATGTTTCCATTCATTGTTGACAGAATTTTATTATGTAAAAATGTTTGTCAGGTTTGCAAGAAAGCAATAAAGCTCTGGTTCGGTTTCTTTTTGTGGTAGTGCCATCTACCGGTGGAACCGAGTATTGCACCTGAACCTCTCACCACCTTCTGCAGATGGACTCCTGAATTAAAGAGCAAGTCACCCCCTACAATAAACTTACTCCACTCCCACTTCATGTTTGAAAAATGCAACAATTGCTGTTGCCTGGCAGACCGAGAGGGCGGAGCCACTAACAAATACACACACACACAGGCTCACAACGGCATTGTGACGTCATAATGCACCAGTTTACATCATAGCATACCTCTTAGCCAATAGCGGTGGCAGATTTAAATTAAAATACAGTGCAGAGTTTTTACCTGACGACGGCGCAACACTGCCAGTTTTAGGCAGAAAATTTAAATTTTAACTAAGATGCACTGAAGTGCCAAATTATTGACTACACGTGTCTACAGTACAATTAGACACTCGTTTATTTAGTTTATCAGTAAAAAAAGTTGATTTGGGGGTGACTTGCTCTTTAACAACTCTGGTCACATGACCTTGTGCTGTGTTTGCACGTGACTTGTTGTCGTTTCTCTAATTGCTGTTGCTCTATAAAATTATTTTATTGTGCTTATTTCTTCTTCTTGCACCAAGTACGCAGCACTTTCCTGATGCTCACACATATGGCAAAAAACTTTCTGATTCTGATGATCAAACCTTCAAAAAATAAAAAATAAATAAATAAACATGACCATTTCGGTTTTTGCAATATAACGGAGTTGTCAATTTACAAATACTGGTTATCAAAGAGATCAATCGAAACTGGATTAAAGCTGATACTTATTTTTTCCATCCCAATTGTCCTCATGATCATACAAACAATTATTTAAGATAACCGTAAATGCCAAATATGTTAAAAAAAACAACATTGTAAAATATAACTAATTATTAAAAAATAAGATCAAATTAAACATAAGATTTCCCCTATTTTAAAACGTTTTTAATAAAACATTAACACCAATACAATTAAATCAAAATGTTAATAATAGGCTAAGAATTAAAGATTAAATAATATAATAATTATATATAATAATTTATAAATAAAGCTTTGATTGATTGATTGATTGATTGATTGATTGATTGATTGATTGATTGATTGATTGATATACTCATAATATCTACAACCAACGTTATGTTTACAGGATAAGAAGTTATTGGTTTGCTCTCTAATGTTTTGATGGATGACTCTCAGCTGCTGACCAAAGGTATAGTCATTCTACGCAATAACTTAGGTCTGGTGTGAGCAATGAGTCATGTTGCACGTTCAATGTTATTTCATTTAAAACGTGTTTAGTTGAGTTTTGTATAGAAATGTTTTGCATATTTTAGTTTAATGTACTTTTTATGTTTTTCCAGAATAGTTAGTGATCAATTTTTACGCCTAAGGTTTAAATTTCATAACCTTTTCTATTGTTTTTTGCATTTCTTTTTTTCTTCCCAACAAAAAGTATTTGGCTTTACTCCAATTTAAGAAGAAGAAACAGCAAAAACTAAATGTTTTTTATTTATTTAATTTTTATTATTATTTAACGACCACCGGGTGGCTCACGCAGGAGGGCTGAGGGTGAGGAGGGGTGCTGGCTGTCCCGCCCGGGTGAGATAATCCAGTCTGGGACTGGGACCGGCGTCACCTCAGCCTGACGTGCTGCTGCTTCACTTCCTCCCATCCCGCCGTTTGCCTGCCCCGCAGTGTCTCCCGGAGAAAACCGGATTCCCACACGGAGGTAACAGCTCTGCAGCAGACCGTTACACCGCCTTTGGCACCGAGAGCCACGGCCGACAAGGTAAACGGCTCCATTAGCACATTTTTAGTGCGTACTGGGTGAAAACAAGCGGGGGGGGGGGGGGGGGGGGGGGGGGGGGGGGGAACGACAAAAGGCTCCGTTAACCGAATATCGCGTCGAAGGCAGAAGAAAGGATGTTTGTTCGTTCCTTTGGAGAATGCGCAGCTCGTTGTTCCGGAGCTACGTGTCTTTCTGGTCCTTCTGAGCGGTAGTTTAGATGTTTGTGTTGGAAAGGGTCAAATCTGGGAGGCTGGTTGGGTTTGGCTAGTTGTGTGTGGCTGGCGCGTGTAACGGTTTGTCTCATCCTCGGTTTTATTCATTTTCGGGTTAAATGTCCGCGCATTTATGTAAAATACGTCACGTTTTTATTATATTTTGATGTCTCTGTACACGCGTACACCGTTAACGTGACACGGCGCGGCCTCGCCAGCGGCCTGCGCCCCCGTTATCACCATATCGATCCACCATAGTGATCCACATTACTAGAAACATCAGCGAAACGCAAACAGCGTCAAGTTCGACAGGATGTTCAAAGTATAGCTTCCGGCCAAGGTTTACAAAATAAAAGCCTATCTGCTTAGCCTGAAAAAATGAAACGAGAATTTGTAGAGCTGTTTGTCGGTTTAGACAACAGGTTTAAACAGCAGGTACATTTAATACTATCTATTTAGATCTCTAGAGTAGTATCCCACCCTTGTTTATTAAAGTTGAGGCAGGTGTTGTTGGCCTCGTATATATTTTTTATTCATTATATTTATTTATATTTTATATATTTACTAATATTTAATTGTTTCTATTTACATGTGTAGGATGGCTTGCCAGGCTACGTTGTTGATACATTACACCAAAAAATCTGTTCATAATCTGTTTTGCTTAAAAAAATAGTGTACCTAATTGGTGGTTATTAGAAGTTAATGTTGGTTTGAGGAAATAAAAAGTGACCCTAAAACTGAATTTCTAAACTGAAGAGTGAAATAATTTTGAGTTAATTTTAGATTCACTGAGATAAAGAAAGTTCATAAAAACTCTACTTGGTGTGTGTGTGTGTGTGTGCCATACTGACCCAGTATCCTCTGGAGGTTTCTTCCTGTTAAAAGGGAGTTTTCCTCTCCACTGTCGCTGCATGCTTGCTCAGTATGAGGACTGCTGTAAAGACTCTGACACTAGTCAGTGACTCGATGCGACCTGCTGGGTTTCTTATGTAGGGAACTTTTTATTGATTGGCTTAATGACCTGACCTGTACTAGAAATGTTTACTGTGTGAACGTCATTGAGACGACTCTGGTCCTGATTTGGCGCTTTAGAAATAAACTGAATTTAATAGAAAAATGAATAAAAACACAGAATGTGCCTCAGGGATCATTAAAGTATTTTGAATTTGAATAAAGAACCATAATAAGTAGAGCTTTGTGGAATCTAGGCCTGGGACGACGATAACAACCAGTTAATGACAATAAACAACATTGTTGTTGACATTGTTGAGACCAAAATAACCACTTATGTAATTACAATATATCATAATAATGCAAGTGTTTCCTTTAAAATGCAACTATAAAACCTTCATTTAACATTGGAATATCCAAAACCAGAACTTCTAAATAAATAAATAAAACAAACAAACAAAAAAATACAATAAGAAAGGACTCTCACTCTCTGTTATAAAATATTGCACCAAAGACCCTCAATATATCGGGGCTGGAAAAACGATTGAGTTAATTTTCATCTATTGTACGGGTAATTGATTTATTGATTTACCGTCCCAGGCCTAGTGGAATCCTAATGAATTGTTTTTAAATTAAAACCTAAGATGAAAACCAATTATATAGATTTAAACACTATTTAATCTCAGGACAATTGTTACTGGAATTTATTTCAAGGCTTTTATTTTTTAGGCCGTTGCTCTGCTCTTCCTGTTGAGTTTTTGTTTTTATCTTCAGGCAGATTGCATTCGGTATGGTGGGATTACCCAGTTGATCCAAACAACAATAATATGTCATGGCTGCAGGATTAACATGTAATCTTTGCCACTTAAACACTTTTTATATCAATATTTTTAAATAAATTGCTGGAATATATTTATTCTAAAATCTTTCTGTTTTCTGTTTTTTTTCCAGAATCAAAATTGAAACCAGTTTAAGTCTAAAATGTAATGTTTTTATTTATTTTTTTCAGTCAGATTTCATGTGTGAAGGAACCTGAAAATAGCCCAGACATGAATGGAAGGAAGTCCCTCCACTTCCCTACATTCCTAAATGTCAGGAGCAGGAACTGTTCTGTTCGATTTTTATTTAAAGGTGTGGAACACTCGTTTAATCAGTACATTTGAGGTGGTCTCTAGTAGGGTTGTCACGGTAACCGGTGTAGCAGTAAACCCCGGTAAAAAAGTTGACAATAATAATAACCATCTTGGTTTTTTTTTTATTATTATTATCTCTGTGGGTTACCGTGGCTGCGGTGTAGGCGCGGTGACCCTTACCAGCCACCGTATCATCTGCTCAAGTTGCCGGCGGCACATGCGCACTTTGTTGTTTACAACCAAAACTTCCTTGAAGCTAAAGCTGAAATAATGGCCAAAGGAGGAGACGGCAGCGCTCAGGACATTTATTATCCCTCAAAGAAGACAAAGTGGGAAGTACGGGCATCTTTTGGATATTTGAAGAATGCCGAGGGACAGCTGATAGAAGACGGCTATCCTGTTTGCAGCATGTGCAGAAAGAGTGTCTGTGAAAGGCAGCAACGCTTCAAATCTCATGACACATCTGCGTGACCATCACCCACAACTCTACAGTCAACGCAAGGCAAGCTAACGTTAGCGTTTTAGCTAAAATGCGTGATCCGAGGATTTGGGTTGAGGGAGAATGCAACGAGTCGCTATATAAAGCAGCCGCAGCGCCGCTACCTGCATATAAACCGTGTCGCGGACACCCCCATGTTGAAATGACGCTATGCATTACGGGGCTCCCAGGGGCAGATAAGAGTTGGTCTCTCTCTGAGAATAATTATTAATTTAACAGTGATTACTGCCCGATGACATTTTCCCACATCTGCAAAGCTCACTGGAACACAAACCGAGGACAATATTTTCCTGATATAGGGTTTATTACTCAAGTAAGGGTAAAAAAGTATCTGATTAGAAGACTACTTGAGTACTGAGTATCATCTGATCTAATAATTTTAAAATGATGACATCAAACTGACAAAAAATAAGAAGTTATGGGCAAATATTGGTATTTTAAAGACTAAAGGGAAAAAATATAAACAAATAAACAACATAATTACAAAATAACACATTTTAGGCAAAATTTAGACACAAACTGAGGACAGTATTTCCTGACATACAGGGTTTATTTAATTGTGTGAAAATGTAACACGTTTAAAAAAAATACCGCGATAATACCGAAAACCGTGGTAATTTTGGTCACAATAACCGTGAGGTACAATTTTCACACCGTGACAACCCTAGTCTCTAGTAGGAATGTGAGTCGTTGTGGGGGGCAGAGCCCAGAAGCACTTGTACCAGCACTGAGAAGTCAGCCGGAGGAGAAGGTAGCTTCACCCCGGGTTTCCACGGGAGCCGTCAGCAGCACGTTACTGCAGCAGCACGTCTTGCTCGCGTAAGCTGCTGCTTGGCCCTTCCCACGAGACGCGAATCAGCAGGGGAGCAACTGTCACCGACAGAGCACGAAGTCACACGAGTGACTTCGTCAGTAAACACAACAACAAGCAGGAGAAAACTACAACATGGCTCCAAAATATTTGTGTTTTTATGTTCTGTCCGTTTTATAATCGCCAATACGGACCTGAAAAACAAAGGAGACCGCTAGCTAGGTGATAACTTCTCACGGGGCCGCACAGTTAGTAACCTTTTTTAAAGTAAAGCGACCGGAAGGCAGTACGTTCTTTATTCTGAAAATCTCGGGAGCTTCTCTCCATTTCCGCGTCCGATTTCCTGTCTTTCCTTCCCCAAAAATGTCGAACTTTACCCGTTTCAGAGGCGTCGCGCGTAGGAAATAGAACCGGCGCGTAAAGGCCGCGACATGCTGCTCCTGAGACGCGGCCGACTCGCGCTGCTGCCGGCTGCCGACGGCTCCAGTGGAAAAGGTTCTGTTGACCACAGCGGTTCCTATCAGCAGCTATGACGTGCTGCTGCAGTAACGTGCTGCTGACGGCTCCCGTGGAAAGCCGGGGTCACACAGCAGGATTTAGTCTTATTTCCTGATATGTGCACATCTCTCCTCTGATTGGCTAACAGCAGCACGACTGTACCACTGACTCAGTTTGCTCTGCAACGTTGATGTTTTATCTCCACAAATACCACACGGCTGGAGGAGTTCTGCTGTGTGGTGGAGCTGCTAATGCTAACAGTTAGCTTCTACTAGCTGAGCTGAGTCGTTTTCTGCTGTTTCCTGGACTAGACCAACTACAGCCTTCCCCGTTGCGAGTCCAGATGGGTGAGTCCATGAATGTTAGTGACAGTGTGACGTAGATCTGTCAGGATTTTCTATCCTAGAGTTTGTATCAGAAGCTAATGCAGGAGATAGGTGTAGGAGACTATTTTCATATTCAG